GTGGGGCTGGCAGGAGGGTGGGGGGTGACRGCGAGGGACCCTTTATGACCGCTTCCCTCGCAGGCCTTCGCCCAGAACGTGCTGTCCAAGGCGGAYGTGATCCAGGCCACCGGAGATGCCATCTGCATCTTCCGGGAGCTGCAGTGTCTGACGCCGCGCGGGCGCTACGACATCCGCATCTACCCCACCTTCCTGCACCTGCACGGCAAGACCTTCGACTACAAGATCCCCTACACCACCGTGCTGCGCCTCTTCCTGCTCCCCCACAAGGACCAGCGCCAGATGTTCTTTGTGGTGAGCGGGAATGGCTYGGCCTTCCCCCGGGGAGGAGGATGGGGGTGGTTCGGTGGGTTTTGTGTCCTCACCTCCCTTTCTCTTTCCAGATCAGCCTGGACCCACCCATAAAGCAAGGCCAGACCCGGTACCACTTCCTGATCCTACTCTTCTCCAAGGATGAGGACATCTCTCTGACCCTCAACATGAATGAGTGAGCGCCCCCAATGCCAGGCCACTTCCCAGCCCCCTGCCTGGATCCTAAGGGAGATGCTGACCCCCCAGACCCTGTTCTCACCTCTGCCCTCTTTCCCTTCACACAGGGAGGAGGTGGAGAAGCGCTTTGAGGGGCGGCTCACCAAGAACATGTCAGGGTCTCTGTATGAGATGGTCAGCCGGGTGATGAAGGCACTGGTGAACCGCAAGATCACCGTGCCTGGAAACTTCCAGGGGTGAGCGGCTGCAGAGCCAGTCCCTCTCTTTCCCACTTGTTCCCATGGCCAGGGGAAAGGGGCTCTGTGAGGTTTGTGCTGGGGAGCAGGGCCTGGGCACAGGGATGGTGTTTGTCCCCACGGACAGCAGTGTTTGTCCTGCAGACACTCCGGAGCCCAGTGCATCACCTGCTCCTACAAGGCCAGCTCGGGGCTGCTGTACCCTCTGGAGAGGGGCTTCATCTACGTGCACAAGCCCCCTGTGCACATCCGCTTCGATGAGATCTCCTTCGTCAACTTCGCCCGCGGCACCACCACTACCCGCTCCTTCGACTTCGAGATCGAGACCAAGCAGGGCACCCAGTACACCTTCAGCAGCATTGAGAGGTGGGTGTGGGCTGTGGGGCCAGCCTGGCCATGCCCAGTGGGGCTCCCCRGCACCCCTGGCCTGACTGTGCCCTCTCCTGCAGGGAGGAGTATGGGAAGCTCTTCGACTTTGTCAATGCCAAGAAGCTGAACATCAAGAACCGGGGGCTGAAGGAGGTACCAGCCACATGGGGCCAGGCTCCCGCCCGCTGGCACCAGCACTGCCTTCTCCCAAAATCTGGCCTCTTTTCATTCCTTTTTTCACCTCTGTTTTCTTTCCTTGCCCTTGTAGAGGAAAAAGGTCCGTGCGATATCCCTTCCTCTTTCTTCTCCTCCTCCTCCTCCTGGTGCAGGTTTCCTGTGCATGGCCGTGGTGGTCTCTGACTAACCCAGTAACCCCAGCGTGGTGTGCGAGGCACCCCTAACCCCCATAACTGCTCTGCCCCTCTCTCCAAGGCCCTGATGGGGGGAAGGAGGGGACACGGCCATGTCTCTCCCCTGCCCTATGCATGCCCAGGGCCTTGCTCACCCAAGGGACTGTGTTCCAGAGGGGGAGTGTGCATGGGGGGCACAGGGAGCATCTCTCATCCCGCCTCTCTGCAGGGAATGAAGCAGAGCTACGATGAATACGCTGACTCTGATGAGGACCAGCACGATGCCTACTTGGAGAGGATGAAGGAGGAGGGCAAGATCCGGGAGGAAAATGCCAACGACAGCAGTGATGGCTCTGGGGAGGAGACAGGTGAGGGCTGGGGCTGTGAGGGGCTGCTGCAGCTCCTCCCCATGATGATCTGAAGCACTGATCCCTCACTTTCTTTTCCAGATGAGTCCTTCAACCCTGGAGAAGAAGATGATGATGTAGCTGAAGAGTGAGTAGAGGCCGGAGAGAGCTGTGTGAGCATTGAGATGCTCACAGCATGACTGGGATTGGGGGCAGTTCTGGATTCACTTCGTTGTAATGGCGTTAGGCAGTATGAGAGAGTTCTGGAAGGGATCAAGGGCTCCTGGGGAGGCCTTGGCTGCTCTGTCCRGGAAGGAGAACAGTGGGAGGAGGGTTAAAGCCCCAAGCTGGGGTGAGGATGGGTGGGAGTCGTGTGGGGAGCTTGGAGCCAAGCCCCGGTGCCACGAGAGCTCTCAATGTCCTGGAAGCAGAACACAGTGAGCTGTGTTTGTGGAAGGCGACTCCCCAGAGGGCTGTTAGCGGGAGCACAGCAGCTCCAGCTCGGGAAGCTGCAGGGCTGGGGGTGTCTCGGGGCAGCTCTGAGTCTGGTGCTCCCACACAGGTTCGACAGCAACGCCTCGGCCAGCTCCTCCAGCGGTGAYGGCGACAGCGACCGTGAGGACAAGAAACCGGCCAAGAAGGCCAAGATCGTCAAGGACCGCAAGCCCCGCAAGAAGCAGCCAGAGGTGAGGRGCTGCTGTGGGGCTGTGGGAGCAGGACCAGCTCCTGGAGGGGYATCAGGGGGGTCACACCCTCACCTGAGCTGCTTCACCTCAGCCTCTGCAGCACTCGACTGCGCCCTGGCCAGAGCTGCCTCCAGATGGGTGCAGGCTGAGCCTCTCCCAAGGGCGTGTTGTTCCCGTGCTTAGCCTGTCCTGGTTGTTACCAGGCTGTTCTCCAGCAGCCTGCCCCTACAGCTGTGACCCRCCAGCCCCTCTCCCAGGGCTGCAGCTGGGTTGCTGGGGAGTTGCAGAGGCGAGCAAAGCCTGGTCCTGAGGTGCTGGGTGAGGAGTGCATTGGGGTTCCATGGGTGTTCTCCACCTCCCAGAGCAAGAAGGGGAAGGACCCCAACGCTCCCAAGCGCCCGATGTCGGCCTACATGCTCTGGCTCAATGCCAGCCGGGAGAAGATCAAGTCAGACCACCCTGGCATCAGCATCACAGACTTGTCGAAGAAGGCTGGAGARCTCTGGAAAGCCATGTCCAAGGAGAAGAAGGAGGTGGGTGATGGGAGACCCAGGGCAGAGCTGGGCCTGGTGAAGGAGGGGAGGCTGGATATGGGAAATGCTTCCTTGCTTCTGAGGCCCTGGAGCTCCACAGAAGGGGTGTTGGGAAGGGGAGGGGACATCATCAGGGTGGTGAGCTGAGTGATCAGAAGWGGAAGTAGGGTGGGTGCTGGTGGCTGGTGGAGGAGGAGGAAAGGCATTGCTGACCCCGTGCTCTGGCCACAGGAATGGGATCGGAAGGCGGAAGACGCCAGGCGGGACTACGAGAAGGCCATGAAGGAATACAGTGTGGGCAGCAAGGCTGACAGCCACAGGGGGTGCGTGTGCTGGAAGGGGCKCTGGCAGGGCTTGGCCCCCCAAAATCGGGCTGTTCCCTGGGGCCCGTGTGCTGCCAGCTGGGTAACGCTGCTCCTCTGCCCTCCGCCCACCCAACCCCGTGCAGGGAGAGGTCGAAGAAGAAGAAGAAGAAGCAGGAGAAGCAGGTGAAGGGGAAAGGGGACAAGAAAGGCGCTGCCTCCAAGTCCTCGTCCTCCAAGTCCCCAGCCAAGGGCATGAGTGACAGCTTCAAGAGCAAGGAGTTCGTGTCCAGCGATGAGAGCTCCTCTGCAGAGAGCAAGAAGGAGGTGGGGATCCCAACTGGGGAAGGGCCTGGCCCCTCTTTCCCAGGGAACAACTGTCTGGGAGGGTCTCGRTCTCAGAACATCCCAGTGGTTTCCTCTGGGTCCTTCGGTGGTACCTTGTGTCTGTAGTACTCAGTCGTCCCCAAGTCACCATCATCACCCTGWCCCTGCAGTGGGGGCACAGGAGAAATGGGGGATACTGCCCTGCTTTCATTGCCCCCATTCCCCTCCTTGTCCCYTGCTGACCTCCTTATTGCCCCCCACAGGACTCAGACGACGAGGGAGCGGCCAGCCCGCCGCCCAGCTCAGAGGATTCCGCGTCTGGCTCGGATTAGCCCCATCCCGGCTGGCTCCAGGCTGCTTCCCAGGTCGGGAGAGGACTGGGCGGGCCGGCCCCACAGCAGGGACCAGGGTCCTGGGCCAGGATGGCTCCCAGCAGGGAGCAGGGCCAGGTTCCCCTGTGCCCCCCAGCACCCCGTCGTGGCAGGAGGTGCCAGAGGCTCCTCAATCCCTCACCCTTTTTTCCCATCAATTTATTTTTTTCTAAAAGCTCGGGTTTCTCTCCTTTTCTTTCGTTCCTTCGTTTTTTTCTGGCGGTGTTWTTTTGTATTTTGGGTCCGTTCACATGGCAACTCGGGTTGAATAAAAAAAAAAACCCCACTGATGGTGTTTGTGTGGGTGTGGGGCCGGCTCCCCCATCCCTCCTTCCTTCCTGCAGCCATCCGGGAGCTCGTTCCCCTCCTTGAATCGCTTCCAGAGCTGACTTCACTSTCTCCCCACCCTCCATTAGCGGCCCCCAGCCCCTGCTCAGCCATCAGGGCTCCTAATTACAGCCCCTCGCTCGATCCTGATGCCATTTGGGGGTTTTTCTACCTCCCTCATGAGGGGGTTGATCCGATTAAGTCCCGTTTCCCCTCCGGTGTTGATTGCAGCGGATTCCCGGTCTGGAACCAGCCCCAGGGGGACCATGGCTGCYTGTTCCCCCCGCCTCTTCCACTGCCTTTACTGGCACCGCTGGCATGGGGCTACGGGGAAGCAGGAGCTCCCCGGTGGGCACAAGGAACCCTGGATCCCCYAATGCTGTGGGGCGGCTCTATTTTCATAGCAACCCGCACTTAAATAAGCATCGCTGCCCCTCCAGCAGCAGGCTCCACGGTTGGAGAACGCCGGGAATGGGATAATTTGCAACGGGGGGGGTTCCATGGGGTGTCCAGGGGGTCCTGCCAGGCTGTTCCCGTCCCCTGAGGGTGATTCGGGGGGTGCTGGAGGTCTCTGCTGTGTCCCCAACCCCCTTTTGGAGGACTCTCTAGCCGCCCCTCTCTATGGTCCGCCCGCCACGCGGCGCCGCTCTGCCCCGCCCCTCTGTCGTCGGGGGCGTGGCCGGCGGTGCTCATGAATATGCATGACAGCGCCGGTGGAGGGTGAGTGGGGGTCGCTSTGCCGGGATGGGGCTGTGGGGAACCGGGCTGTCCCCCCGATTCGTGGTGCCCACTGGGGGACCACGCGGCTTCCGYCCCGGCGGGCAACATGGGCCCGGGACCCCCGAATTGAGTGGGGGGCTTCGTTGTCATGGGGACGGCGGTAGGCCGCGGTCGGGGCCTACTCAGCTACTCGATCGGAGGCTTCGTTACCGTGGCAACGGGGCTAGGCCGCGCTGGCGGAGGACCCCGGTGGGGCCGGACCCACATCGCGGAGCCCCGCCGCCATCCCGCGCTGGGAAACGGGCCCGATGGTTTCCAGATGTGGGTTGTGGCGGCGGTTTCCCCGTGGAAGGCGAAAGGAGGGGGATCTTGGGGAGGCTGGACCCCGGCGGGACAGGAGGGGGCGAGGCGGGGAGGGCAGGGAGGGGAGGGGAGGGAGGGCAGGGCCAGGAGGAGGCACCGAGCGGGTTTTTCCTGTCCCCGCAGCCCCGGTGAGTCACGGGAGAGGCGGCAGCTGTAGCGTGAGACCCGTGGGGACAGTAACCCCTCCTCCCTGCCYTCTCTGCGCCCCCCACGTGTGTGCCCGGCCCGCCCCCGACATGGGGCTGATGTGGGGAAGGTGAGTGGGGCACCCGCGGCCCCTGCGAGGGGCTGGCGGATGGTCTCGGGGGGCCGGGCGGTGCCTCCCGTGCTGCCGGGGGCTCGGGGGGGGGGCCGGAGGTGACCGGGACCGGGAGATGAGGTGGGGACTGGGGCAAACTGGGGGCCAGCCCGGCGCTGGGGGKTTGGCGAAGGTCGGTAGGAGTGACACGTGTGTGTTGGGACAGGTTAGCACAGGGTCACACAGGTAAAGGAGGGGCCGCACGGCGTTAGGGGGTCTAGCGTGGGGTCCGTATGGTTACGGGGGATGGGGCGGTGTCTGGGGCTGCTGCCGGGGCCAGGCTGGCTCAGGTGAGCCGGGGCCGGTGTGCTAAGGGTGGCAACACAGCGTGATCACCGTTTGGCACAGCTGGACAGAGCTTGGCACAGGGCCCCACAGGGTGCTTGGGTTCGCTCAGGCTCGTGGTGATCCCCTAAACGATTTTGCCTCTCTCCCCAGGGGCTGACCCCACGCCGTGCCCCCCTTGTTCCAGCATCGTCATGGCTTCCCAGCCACAGCCCCTGCACCCTGCCGTGCCCTGCGCCTCCCCCACCGGCACTGGGGGGGTCGGGCTGGCCGGCAGCCCCGACAAAGGTCAGTACCCCGGGCTGGGGGCAATCGGGGTGGGGGACTGCTGGGGCAGCTCCCCTAGGGCTGTTCCCAGTCGGGGTGGCCGCACCACTCCCTTGACGCCGTCCCTCTCCCTTGCTCTCCACAGGCAGCACACGCCCCAAGCCCCCGGTGCGGCCCAAGCCCCGCGTGCTGCCCAAGCCGGCAGTGCCCGCCAAGCCACCGGTGCCACCCCCAGTGCCATCCCCTGTGCCGGGCCCGCGACACCCCCGGCCAGAGCTTCCCTCGGCCGAGAAGATGAACCGCCTGGCCGGGCCCCAGCCCTATGGCAGCGGAGGCACGGGGGGGCTCCTTCGGCGCCCCTCTTTCACTGTCAAGTCGCCCGAGACCCCCAATGGGAAGGGGCTCTCGTCACCCCCAGTTGCAGCTACCGAGGAGGAGGTGTCCCCGGCCCCGCCGACCCCCTCACGCAAGGGCCCCGCGCCCTTCAAGGTGACGCCGGTGCCGGTGGCCACCAGGCCAGAGCGGTTCCCAGGCACCACCGTGGAGGAGATCCTGGCCAAGATGGACAGCAGGGAGGGCCCGGGCAGCCCAGACCGGGCCTGGCTCTCGCCCTTCTGYACCGACTCCTCCTCCCGCTTCGGTTCCAAGACCTTTGCTGCCTTCCGGAGGCGTCCCAGTGGGGAGGCAGATGGAGACCCTGCCGGCGAAGCCCCCCAGACRCCCCGATCTGCAGGGGGCGAACTGGGAATGGGGGATGACGGACGCCCCGTGGCCGAGACGAGGTGAGACCCCAAGGACCGACCCCGGGAGGATAGTGGCAGTGGGAACAGGGGGATATCACTCCGAGCCATCCCAGGGCTGGGAGTGTAACGGAGCTGAGGTCTGGTCGCCGGCACAGGGCCCAGGTTCCTCCCGAGCCGCAGCGCCTCGAGCTGCCTCCGTGGGAAGGCYGGGGCGGCTGGTGCCGACCGCAGGATGGGCTGTCCCGGGTCAGGAGCTGCTTGTGGGCGGGCTCTGAGACAGCCACTGGGCTGGGAGTAACGGGCAGGGGGTCGCTCCCCCAGGAAATGCYCCTGATTTTCCAGCCTTGCTATTTTTTCCCTGCTGGGCCATGCCAGGGCACAGGGAGCAGGCAGATCATCAGGACTCCTGGCTGCAGGATGTCCTGGGCCAGAGCCAGGGCTTGGCCATGTTCCCGAGAGCCGGGCACCTCAGGGAGAGCTGGGCGGGGGCTGCTGTGAACCGGAGTGTGAGAAACTCACTCCCAAAGGACCGAAAACTTTCCGGAAGAGGAGCTGGGGCCGCTTTGCCTCCCTCCCCTGGCCACCCAAGCCAGCGACGTTGTGTGCAGCCGTGGCGGGGCCTGACCCGTGTACCCTATGTCCTTGCAGGGTGGTTTGGGGCAGGGGTGCCTCRTGAGTGGTGGGAGAGAAGCACTGAGGCACGCAGTGGGTTTTACCCTCCTTRCCCTTCTCTCTCTGCAGCAGCTCCCCCCCAGCCGGGCTGAGCTGTGCCGGGGACCCCCGTGGACGCCGGAGGCCACCGTCCCCCCCTGACGTGAGTGCTGGCCTCGCCCTCCGGCGCCATGGCGGCTCCGCTCCTGGGCTCTCTCCTTCGGGGCTCTCCTGTCTCCTCCGGGGCTCCCTCTCTGCGGGGTGCGTGTCTCTCCTTTCTCCTCAGGGTGCTGGCCACCCTTTTCTGCGGGGAGTCAGTGCCCCCTGTACTGGGAGCCCGCTGTGGGGCCCGGGGCTGTGGGGGTGGCGTGTGGCAGCGCCGGTGCCAGGTGTGGGCAGGGAGCAGCCGTGAGTCACCAGCTGGGGTTYGGTGACCCAGCAGGTATGTGGCAGGGCAGGCCCCACGGGCTCCCCGCCAGCCCCTTTCCCCGTGCTGTCCTCAATCATGGCGGTGACCGGGACACCGGGCCACGGTGGCACCGTGGGTGGCAGCCTGGGCAGCGGCACCGGGTCACCCCAGCAGAGGGCAAACCCCGGCGGTGCTGGGCAGGGGGATGTCAGCTGCAGGCAGGGCAGGGGATGGGGCTGGGGGCTTCTGACTTCTTCCTGCTTCATTTCTTCTCTCCATCTGTCCAGCGCTTCAGGGGCAGCAGGGGGCCAGGCAGGGAGCGGGACCGGGGCACAGGGAGCCGCCCTGGCTGAGTCATGCAGGAGCAGCCTGGTGCTGGCATGCAGCACGGGCACTTCCTGGCCCGGGTGCAGGGAGGGGAGCAGGGCTGGAGGGAGGGACCCTCCAGAGATTTGGGGAACTGGCTTTGGGATGGATGATGTTTGGAGGTGCCTTTGGAGTGACGTCACCCCCTGCCGSCTCTTTCCACAGCTTTCCTCGCTGCAGCTGGGTGCCCTCGGACCTCCAGGCTCCCCAAGGCCCCCCACCAGCCCAGTCCCAGCCCCAGGAGCTCCTTTCCAGCCTGCTGAGCCCTCTGCCCCAGCCCCTGGCTCCCCTGATGCCCCCCCTGAGCTCCTGGCCCCTGACTCCCCCACGCTGCCCCCCGGCTCCCCCGAATCCCCTGCTCGCCCTCCAGCCGAGGTTCCCGTCACCTCCATCCAGGCCCCGGGTGCTCCCTCAGCCACTGAGCCCCGGCTCGGTGCCTCCCGTTCCCCCGGCTCCCCYCACACTCCAGGGGAGGAATCCCCTGACACTGCCAGCCGCCCTGGCACTCCTGAGCTGCCTCCCCAAGTCACGTGCCCTCCTGGCTCTCCCGAGGCTGCTGCCGAGTACCTGGGCCCCCCCAGCCCACCCCTTGCCAAAGCCTCTCGTCCCCCAGGCTCCCCAGAGGGACCTGATGACTCCCCAGTGTCCCCACAGTCTCATGAGGGTCCTGATTTCAACCCCCTTCCCAGGGATGTGGGGCTCCGGCGCTCCTCTGAGGGGGTGCTGCGACCCCCACCCACAGGGCAGGGCCTGGGGGAGCTGGGGGGCTCACTGAGCGCCCTGCCCCGGCCTGGAGACCTCCTGTCAGAGCCCTCCCTGGGCAGTGAGTCCGGCTGGAGCCTTTCCCAGTCCTTTGAGTGGACGTTCCCATCACGGGGGTCACGCTTGCCAGCCTTCCCACCCCGCTCCCCTATCCGGGAGACACCTGACTCGGGGCTCTCCGAAGATGGGGAATCGGATGGGGAGGCTGCTGGGGAGGCTGTGGCCCCCGTCCCCTCAAAGGACAGCAGGTCTGAAGGGCCTGACAGCCGGGGGGCAGAGGGGGCTCCATGCCCAGGGGGTCCAGTGGCCCAGCAGGAGGCTGAGGGCTCGGCAGAGGAGGAGGCAGAAGGGGAGGCAGAGCGGGATGCCCCCATGTCCCACTCCCCACTTCACGTGACCGAGCCTGGCCAGGACCCCACTGAGCCTGAGCCCCCCACACAGTCCAACCTCACTGCAGCTGCCCCTCTGGATCCAAGCCCCCCAGATCCAGCCGCTCCATCTGACTCAGCYTGGGCAGGTGATGGCCCCAAGAGCCTGCAGGGTCCTGGGGGCCCAGGCCAGGCTGAAGGAACCTCACAGGGCCCTGACCCCCATGCCGACCCGGGCTGGCTGACAGAGCTGCTGGCGTCCCCCGGGGTCCACGGCTCGCCGGAGGTGAGAGGTGTGGGGGGCTCTGCAGAGGCGGTGTGGGCTGGGTGGCTCCTCCCTCCACTGAGCAGTTGGATGGGACAGGATGGGTGGATGGGTGGAGGCTGAGCAGGACTGTGTGCTGAGGGGCAGGTGGTGGGGTCTGCTCTCTTCGGGATGGGCCCTGCTGTGCTGTGTCCCCAAGGCATTTTTCCCTCCTCCCCAGTTCCACTGCTGTGGGAGCCAGAGTTGCGCCCCCCTCTAACTCCTCTCTCCTTTCTAACCTCTCTCCCCACTCTAATCCCTCTCCCCCTTTTTCCCTCAGAACCTGCTGGGCTGGTCACGGAAGGACCTGTGCAGTGAGTTTGGCATTGGCCACCCTCGCCAGGACAGCACCTTCAACTGGAGCCACCCAGGTGTGTCCAGGGAGAGAGAYTGGGCTGCTGAGACCAAGCAGGACCAGGAATTCGGGACCAAATCCAGCTGGGACAGCACCCGCGGCAACAGGGACAGCACTGCCCAGGAGAGCTGGAGCGGTGACTACAGAGCAACRGAGCTGATGAGGGACATGAAACTGGGCTGCGGTGACTGGTCCCAGTCCCTCGGCACTGGGGACAGCTGCCTGCGAGATCCAGACTTCAGTGCCAGCACAGCCAAGTGGGGCCAGGGCTATGGCAGCACGCAGGAGCTCGGCTCYGGACAGGCCAGCTGGGGCAGCAGCCTTGGCACTGGACACGTCTGCCAGGACAAGGAGCCACACTCCGGACAGCCCACCTGGATGGGCAGATACAGCGGYGGGGACTCAGTGATGAAGGACAGGGAGCTCACCCCAGCCTGGGCCAGTAAATACAGCAGCCAGGATGCTGGGAGYAAGGATGAGGATTTAACGCTGGGCTGGGCTGGCAGATCCAGCACTGGGGACACTGGGAACCCAGATAAGGAGCTCAGCCACAGCCGGCCAGCCTGGGACAGAAGGTACAACACCAGGGACATGGAGAGCCAGGACCGGGAGTTCAGYCCCAGTCGGCCAGCCTGGACTGGAGAATACAGGGACACGGAAAGCCAGGACTGGGAGTTCAGTCCCAGCCGTCCGGCTGAAAGCAGTGAGTGCAGCACCAGGAATGTGGATTCCCYGGAGCAGGAACTCAGCYCCAGCRGAGCAGCCTGGGATAACAGATACAGCACCCGGGACATGGAGAGCCAGGACCGTGAGTTCAGCCCCAGCCGGCCGGCCTGGACTGGTGAAATCAGGGGCATGGAAAGCCAGGACAGGGAGTTCAGCCCCAGCAGGCCAGCCTGGGCTGGTGAATACAGGGAGATGGAAAGCCAGGACCGGGAAT